AATTGATACACGATTATGTATATTAATTTGATAAAGGTTTAAAATGAAACATTTAAAAGTAAAAGACGTAAAGTAAATTAATTAACTAATTATAAGAGTATAATGTGTAATTTTAAAAAAATCTTATGTGAGAGGGTGAGTGTATGTGAGGAGAGGAAGGAGTGAAAAAGTGATATAAATGGTATATTGGTTATTTAGTATTTTAAGACTTTAAGACTTTTGTTAAATTTGATTTATAAGATAGTATAGATATATTTTATTATTCTGATATATTTTAAAATTAAATTATTAAAGTTACAGGATGAGAGTTGGGACTCTTTAGTTTTTTTGAGAACCTAGAAGGCTCTACATATCATTCTTAGCATGCTTATGTCAAAAGTCCTAATCGACCAGCAATTGATAGAGTAGGTAGTTGTTTAAAGTTTGATCACAATGATGTTTTTCTTTTACTTTTTGATTCCACATTTGTTAATTAAAAGTTTTTAGGTCTGTTAGCTTGTGGGCAAGCCCGGTCCGTTTATAGGACGGACAATGGCAAGTTGTCAAGCCCAAAAAAAGGGTTTGAGTTTACAATATTAGGTTCGTTGGACAAAAAAACAAGTTAGACCCGGCCCAAGCCGGACCCAAACCCATAAATGATCACCTCTAATTTCCACGTATTCCTACATGATATCAGAGACAAGATTTTTCCTTCTAGAAGCTCTTTACTCAGTCTGGGGCAATCCATACTAGCCTAGCTCCCTCTCGATACTCTGGGAGCCTGGGACAATAAGTGTCCGTTCAGACTTCGTTGGAGGGGGCGTATTAGAGTTTTACGTCAACTAGATTCGTATTAATTTTCTACTATATATGTTGGAACCTTTATTTTCTTCTTGAAGGCTCTTTTGGAACAAAATACGAGTTTCTATGTGGTCTCACATTTTTAAAATTTAATGTTTTAGGATTATTGTTTTCAGCTTGATAGGATATGGTGTATTAATGACTTTATGTTGGTATCAAGTTATCCAAAAATTTAAAATGATAATTTTGACAGGTTTTTAAAATTGAGGTACTGTTTTGTTAATTAGAGATTTACGAGGGACCCAACTGTTAATAATCATAAGGCTGAGTATGTGTAGGGGCCAGGGGGCAACAGTTTTAAGGAATAACGACCATCAGAAATTGAGAATTGAGGGTGGGACCTGTCGTTTTATTTATTATTTTACCCACCATGTCCCTCATCTTTTTGCTTTATTCCTTATACCCCCTTTTTGTTTCTCTTTTTCTTTTTGTGACCCCACTTATCCTTGTGTTACGATAATACGATATGGCCTCCATGTACTTTAAGACTTTCATACATTAGTTTGTCGCTTACTTAACTGAGTGTCAGATGTTGTTTGTTTACCTTTTAATAGTTCAATTAAGAGACAAACTCTGAATCGTTAAGAGATTAATCTTGTTTGACAAAAAAAAAGTTTGTCTCATAATGTTTGTAAAACCCTCTGAATGATTTTGTATATTGGGTCTCCCTTAACCATTCAATTTCATTTTGAATAATTATCAAACAATTATATTTCATTTTTCATTATATTATAAGAGTCTCTTAATATACAACTAGATCTGATGTCATTTTGTAATACAGGAAATAGAGGACCCGGAAGAACACCATTGGATTGGCCAACAAGACTAAAGATAGCAAGCGGAGCAGGCAGAGGCCTAGCCTTTATTCACACTTCCGGCAACACCCTTAAACTCACACACGGCAACATCAAATCCACAAACATCCTTATCGATAAATCCGGCAACGCATGCGTCTCCGACATTGGGCTCTCCGCCTTTACCCCCACAACAGCCTCCACGCGGTCCATCGGCTACCGTGCACCTGAATTATCATCGGCAACCAATCGTAAGTCCACTCAGAAATCCGACATCTACTCTTTTGGAATTCTATTGTTGGAGCTTCTCACCGGTAAATGCCCGTCCATCATGGACGATGGTGGGGTTGTGGACCTGCCACGGTGGGTTCAATCGGTGGTGAGAGAAGAATGGACGGCGGAGGTGTTTGATTTGGAGTTGATGAGTTTCAAGGATATCGAAGAAGAAATGGTGGGGTTGTTGCACATCGCTTTATCATGTACCTCGGTTGCGCCAGATCAACGACCCGAGATGGGCCATGTCGTGAAAATGATTCACGACATAGAGGGGGTCGATATTTCACCAAGCCATGACATGCCCGACTCCACCTCTAATTCTCCTTCAGTTATCGGAGCATGACAAACCAATCCATAGCGTTTCCTTCTTGTCATTTTTATGTTTCAGCACGTACTTTAATCAAATCATCATCTTATTGATTTATTGTAAATCATACGTAACCTGTTTACTTTAAGTACGACATTTTGTTGTAACGATTGTATGGTATTATTTCATATTTTCGAACAAATGCAAGTAGTTTTAGGTCGATTTTTAAAGCGACATGGGCTAAATCAAGAACTAGAATTCCAATGTACCTCTTGGTATGATTCCAATTCCATTGGAATGATCAATTTCTTTGTTTGGTTCATAAATTAAAATGGATAGAATTCTTTGAATTCCATGAATTAATAAATTCAGCATTCTTTAGCACAAGTGAATGAATTGAATTCCAACTATTTACATCTGGTTTAACAAACACCATCCATTCCACCCCGACCACCAATATCACCAAGCTACTATTGCCGTCATCACATCTACCACCTCCGACCACCAATATCACTTTGTCACAATGTTGTTGTCATAGCTACCACCCCCGTTCTCGCCTCCAAACAAAAGTGGAGGTTTTAATTACTTGTGAGATTCAACCACAAGAATGGTGTCTGGTTGGTTTGAGCTTGGCTTCAAATGTCAAAAGTATCCGGAGGTCCCAGGTTCAAATATAAGAAGAAATAAAAATCTTCTTGTGGTCACGAAGATTCAAATGCAACGACTCCAGACTATCTGTAAGGCAGATGGTCGTCTTAAGATTAGTCGGCTCGCATAACGAGTTGGATATTCAGGTTAATCCAAAAAAAATTATTTGTGAGATTCTATTTCAGTTCAAGCCAAACGGATGGTCAAATTTCATCAAAATCCCATTATTAATTATTTTAAAATCAAATTCTTTTTGATGAATTCTGATTCCAACAAATTTCATTCTAAGCTAAGGCTTTTCATTATGTATATAAGAATAAAATAATTTGAAGTAAATAAAGTAAAATAACAAATAACTCTGCTTTGAGAAAAGAAAAGTTATAGGTCGTTGAATTGCATAAGACTTGGTGCAATTCTTAACAACCTATCCAAGGCATGAGATGTGAATTTCCTCGCAAACAAGTGACATATTTGGTTTCCCTTCCCGTTGTACTCGCAACTCGTATCACTCCTTAATTTCTCCAAAAACTCCTCAGTCACATCGTTTCTTGTGTACCGAGTCGGGTGGGGCCCACCTTTTGCCCAGTCAACAAATGTCAAAGTCCGATTGGCATTTGTCTCCGCAAATCTCTTGGTAACAAATGTTGGCAAGTAATGCTCGTCTGCATAGCATTGGCCATCACAATAGTCGTGGAAAACCGAGAAATACATCGTGTCGGAGATCACCTCGGTTGCTAGGTCACGATCCATCTCAAACCATTGCGACCCTTTTCGCCATTCGTAGATTACGACAGTCGGAGCCATTTTGGGGCTATAACGTCCGCGGCCAACAGGCCCCTCTAGATCATAGGACTCCACGAAGTTATGGTTGGAGTTGGTAAGGTAAGAGTAAACGGTTGAGAAATTAAAGAGGGGAATACAGGCGTCAGACAGGAGAATAAATCGTTGATTCGAGAAATCTAGAAGAGCGTTTGCTAGCAGTCGACGCTCCGCTTCGATCATGTTGACCTTTCCCCATTCAACATCCTGTAATTCATAAACGAATAATTAGTTAAAAATAAAATATTGATTATAATTTAATAAATAAATTATAAATTATATTGCCTCAATAATTACACTCACATGCCCAAATGGTAAAATACAATAAAATCCAATTCAAATCAATATGAATCGTATCAATGTCCTCCAATTGTTTTTATAAAAAAATATTTTAAAATATACAAAAAATAAAATTAAAATTAAAAATCCAGCAAGGTTTTGAAAAGAAGGCCGGCGTCATGCTCGTCCAGCTTGGATTTCATCATACAACTTTGTGGCTGTGATTTCGTTTCTACACCTTTTTTCCTTTTGTTTTTTATTTTCTTAAAAATAAATATTCTAATTTATTTAAATATATTTTAATAATTTTGTTAAATTCAAAATTCCTGAAATAATTGAACGATTGATTATGCTTTAAGGAAAACTAAAATGATTTTACGACTAATGAAAATAATTCAAAAAAATTATCTTTCTAATTAAGTAACTTCCAATCATTTAAATTATATATACACACACATATATATAGAAGTGAGTTATTATACAACCCCTTACATTTGTAAAACCAATACAACTCAATCTCAATCGTTCATTTAATTTGATGAATATGTAATTTCATAATATAAAATATTAATCATAATTAATAAACTTATACATCTTCCATAGATATTCAAATCATAATAAATAAACTCTCCTCATTTCCGTAAACATAGCATTTAAAACGAACTCTATAAAACACACACACACACACACATAAACTTAAGATAGTGAGACCCGATCATCTAAATAACACTTAACCTTCACAGTGTTTTTACTATGAAAGTTGGGTGTTGTCTGTATCGTTAAAGAGTTTTGCTATGAAGTTTCAATGATCATCACAAAAAGAGACCAGTCTAACAAGAACCTAACCCTTGTATATATAATATGTACACATATATACATCATTTTGAAACCAATGTGTTTGTTTCTATTTTGCAAGATTAAATGCATCGTTATATATTGTTAAATATTTATTTTTAATGTATGATTTTATATTGTTTTGTAATTAGTAAAGATGACAATTTCAAAAAAATTCAAATTTAAGGATGGTACAACTTTTTATGCATATGATACAAACCCCGAAGCGAAAGATTAAAGGGATATGGAATTTTGTTACCTTACTAGGAATTCTCCGGCCATGAAACACGGAATCTTCCGGCTCGGTGCCGTTGGAAGATGAATTGGACCTATGAACATAGATGGTGTAAAGACCTTCATTCCCTTTGAAAAATCTGTCCCACAACGGCGATAATACCACCGGACCTCTCGTCAAAAACATGAACGCAACTTTTGGAATTCTGTTGTATGGATAATCTGTGACTTTAGGAACCATCGATGCTCTCCAAAGCAACTCTTCATCGGTCATATCGTGCATCAATTCGGGAGGGTTGAGATAGCTTCCTAATCCTACCTTCATCGGCGACGGAGTGGTTGATTCCGGTGGCGTAATGACGTCTGTGAAGGCACTGGTGGTGGTGGTGGTGGTGGTGGAGGAGAGAGAGAATTGCGTGAATTGGAGGTTGAAGGAGACGTTTTTGAGATGGAAACTGAGGATGATACCGAAACATAAACCGAAAGCAAAGAAGAGGATGATAGAAAGGAGATTAACTAGATGTAATGGAGCATTGAAGAACTTGAAGAGTGAAATCATTGAGTAATGATTCTGATTACTGTTCTTCATGGTTTTCCAATCTAGATCTAGTGAGAGTGATGGAAATGGAAATGGAATTGGAATCGGAATTGGAGATCCAGAAAGGTTATTATTGAAAGTGGGAGAAGGAAACGAAGGGATTTATGAAGGGAATTGAAGGGGCGTGTGGGAAAGACTTGGCGTTGGCGGTGAGAATGATTCAAAAAGCCCAAGTCAACAGCAACGTCGTCTTTCTTTCCTTAAAAGAAAATAAATTTCCCAATTATTTTTATTTCAAATATAATTATTGATTATTAATATTAATATTAATATTAATATAACTCGGCACACCAGCAGCCGGTCTTTGACAGTTTTATTTTATATGTTGTCTAGTAATGCATTTATTATTTTTTTGTAAATTAAATATTACATATTTTTATTTATTTATATATAATTTTTTAAATTTTGTATAAAATCGTATCTATATACTTCATGCATGATAAACATATGTCATCTAAATATTACATATTTTTATTTATTATTGAAAGAGAACTAAGGTTGTCTCGATAAAAGATAAGAGACTGGTATCTTTTTTATCGGATGCGTTTTAAAGCCGTGAGTGCAGATGTGTGTATAGGGAGTACAATATTTGGTACGATTGGTTTGAGATGTTACAGATTGTATCAGAGTCGGAAACCGAACTGGTGTATCAGCAAGGACACTAGGCTCCCAAGGGGGTGGTTTGTAAGATCCCACATCGGTTGGGGATGGAATTAAGGACTAAATACCTCATCTACTATATGTGTTTTAAAATCGTCAGTCCTAGTATGTGGATAAAACGGACAAATTTTAAACGGTTAGCCCGTGATGTTACTATAAGACCCCACATTGATTGGGGAGGGAAATAAAAGTTGCCTTATAAAGGCTTGGATATCTCCTCTATCAGACGTGTTTTTAAAACCATGAGTCTAGGTGTGTGGACAAATTGGACAATATCTAGTATGGTTAGTCTGGAATGTTACAGATGGTATCAGAGCCAGGAAACGGACGGGTGTGCCAGCGAGAAAGTTAGGCCTCCCAAAGAGGTGGATTGTAGGATTCCACATCGGTCAGGGAAGGGAACAAAGATTGCCTTGTAAGGGTTTGGATACCTCCTCTATCAATCAAGTTTTTAAAACCGTAAGTCTAGATGGACAAAACGGATAATATATGATACAGTTAGCCTTAAATGTTACATTTACAGCTAATAAAAGGGAAAGTTTACGCATGGGCTCATTACCTTATTTCCAACAAATTTTATGACCATATTAATTAAATAGACTCGAAAGCAATCTTTATTTAAGATAAATTAATTTACAAGGACTTCAACACACAGTTCATATTTATGAAAATAATCAATGAAAACGAACTATACATCTTTATAAACATGACTTTTGAATCATCTCGTATTTACACTAGTTTTGGCTATAGTTATGGACATAGACCACTTACCAGTATCGTTTTGATTGGAGGCGTCTACATTATGGACAAATAAACGAATGACGACTAAAGGGTCGTTTACTAAATGTTTGTCAGCTAAGTGTTTACAGGCAAAAATCGCCACATTCACTTACCTTTTCGGATAACATTCTCAGCTATCAAAATAATTGTTTTGTAAACGTCTTTTATCTAGTAAACATTTGTTGAGTAAGAGTATTCTATTTCACTTACAAGGTAAGACTCTTGGCCTTTGCTATGTCTCTTACGGGGTAAAATTCACGATCGTTGTCATGCTCACCCGATATGGTCAGTGATACCTGCTAAACATTAACCCGATAAGTATTTGATAAACAACCCTAATTTCAATTTTAAAAAAAAAAGAATAGATAAAAAAAATATATTTAAATAAAAAAAGCCGTTTGCTTTTTAAAGGTGGATTTTTAAAAACTATTTCCAAACGACAACAATATGTGGACCTTTTTAAAGTAGTCTTTTTGAATTATGTATATTATTTTATTAATATTATTATTTTTAAAAAATACTGTAAATAAATTCTATAAAAACATATTTGAATCACGATTTGAATCTTATTAAATATTAGATATTAATTTGTTTGTTATTATATTTTATATGCTTTTTCAAACGGAGTAATTATCGCATCTCATTGCTATAGTTTAAGTGATTAAAATATATTTTCTTCACAGTAAAATATTAAAATATTCAGAAAAATACAATAATTACACTTACAGACGAATATTTTAAAATAGAGTAAATTACATTTTTAGTCCCTGTGGTTTGTTATAAATTTCGAGTTTAGTCTCTATGGTTTTAAAATTTTGGTTTTCATCCCTATAATTATAATTCATTTCTATTTTCATCCCTGAGGCTAAAACACTACTTTTTAGTATCAAGGACTAAAATAGAAATAAAATATGAACCATAGAGACGAAAATAGAAATAATTTTTAAATCATAAGTACAAAAAAGATGATGAATTATAAACTATAAGGATAAAATTTGTAATTTCGAGACCACAGAGACGAAATCCGTAATTTTTAACAAACCACATAAACGAAAAATATAATTTTCTCTAAAATATTTAAATATTTTTAATACAATTAGTATTTTTTTTTTGTTATTATAATTTTAGTTTTTTATGAGTTCGATTTCTACTACTAACATTGTTCAAGTGCAAGTTGTTAAGTACCCATCACGTAATTTTTAATAATTTTTTGTTTGTATTTAAACAAAAAGTCATTTACAATTCATTTTTTATAAATCATCTATAGAGACAAAAAATTTAAATCTTTCAAGAAAATGTAAATCGTTAAAACAGTTGGCAAATTGACATTGTTTAAATAATAAAATAATTGGCCATATAAATATGGAGCGGTCCAACAAGGAGGAAAGAAGACAATGGCAAATAACTCTGATATTGGACCGCCGTCCAACACGACCCTTTGATAGGCTGGAACCGGCCTGGAAGGTTCGATAATATACACATGCACCGGTCCGATCAATACGATGAAGCATGCCTCAATTAACTCTTGATCATATATTATTATATTCCAATCATTATATAGTGATTAAGGGGCCGTTTACCAAATGTTTAACCGAGTAAACACTTATCAAGTCACATTACTTTACCGAATCAATATGGCAAAGACCAAAAATCTTACCCGATAAGACCGAAGGCAAAGACTGAGAGTCTTACTCGGTAAGTGACGGCGACGACTCTTACCACGGTTAACGCTTACCAGGTTAGTTGTTGCATACGATACCGTTTTGGTGAACTAAAATATTACTCGGTAAGTAATTGATAGTTTTGAATTTTTCCGGTAAGCACTTACCCGGGTAAGTGTTGGTAAACTGCCCCTAAGATTTTTGTGGGATAACTGTTCATTTATGAGACAAGTTTTATGCACAGACTAATCTTTGGACGATTGTGAATGGTCTGGAGTCAGTACAAATTTACAGATGAACCTTCGTGGCCTCAAGAGTTATGGCAGTGCTCTGATTTGTACCCGGAGTAGATGAAATTTTTCACAAATCACAATATTCCCTAAGGCTTAACCAGTGCACCGTTCAGCCTTTAACTGTTATAAATTATTTATGTTATTAATATTGAATGATAACAATATAATTAATAAAATAAAAAGACTGAACGTACTTTCACATTTTGACTATTAAGTACTTGAGCTTTTTCTAATAGATTAAATTTTTGAACTTATTGAAATCGAACAAATAAATTACTGAACTTAATGAAACTGAAAAACCCAACAAACTTTTATTAATTTTGTATCATGGGTCTTCGCTGACCATTCAGCGCCCTAATTTCGTTGTAAATAATTATCAAACAATTATTTTTTATTTTGCACCATATCACGAGAGCATCTTAATCCTTCAGCATCATACTCTTCAGCATCTGCCAAACAGCCACAAATATACATAAACAATGGGAAGGACTATTAATGACAATTAAAGAAAAATTGAGGGTGTAAAGTAAGTTAAAAAATTTGAAAGTTACAATGAGAATCCATGAATGAGGTGGACTTCAACTTATGTTAATATTTTTATTTGTCTAATTATTTTTTTCTATTGTCCTTTATTTCAAATTAATCTTTTTTTTATTAACCTACACATTCAATCCGTTATGCGAGCTGACTAATTTTAGAGCGACCACCTGCTTTGCAGATAGCCTGGAGTCACCGTATTTGAACCTCTGTGGTCACAATAGGAATTTTTATTTCTTCTTGGATTTGAACCTAAGACATCTTGATACTTTTGAACTTTGAAGCCAAGCTCAAATCAATCAAACACCACCCTTTATTTCAAATTAATCTTTTATACAAATTAATTTAATCACTTTACATGACAATAACAATAAATAATATATAATTAATATTTTTTTATTATATATAATTAAAAAATAAAAGATTCTTTTCATTTTCCCATATCCCATCTTCTCATTCTCTCTTTTTATGATCCCATTGAATCTCTTTTTATATCTCCTCCACTTGTAACCTCCTTTTCCACTCATCCCCCCATTCAACTCCTTTCCTTTTTAGTAGCCCTCCACAATTAACCCCTTTTTCAATTTATTTAATATTTTTTTCCAATTTAAAAATAAATAAATATAATTTATATTTAATATTTCATAAAAATAATAGAAACTTGTGTTTTTCAGTAATTAATTGTTTTAATCCATTAACAGCTTCAAAATACACGATCGAATCTAACTTACAGCTTACATTCTAAAAATACAAGTCATCACGACACTGTGTTTGTGATTACATAAAAGACGGAGAAAAAAAAACCCTGAACGCTATGGGCTGAACCCGAACAAGCTTGGAGCATTCTTCAGTAACGGCTCTAAAGTGTTTGGATGAAACTTCCTAGCAAATAAGAAGCAAATCGAGCTACTAGCACCGTTATAAGTACAATTGGTTTCATATCTGATTCGATTCAGAAACTCGATTGTAATGTCTTTTCTCATAAACGTTGTAGGATGGGACTTGCCACCCGACCAATCAGTCCATGTTACTGTCGTATTTGTGATCAAATCAGGACGAACCTTGTTTATGAGTGTCGGTAAGTAATGTTCGTCCATGTAACAAGGTGGCAAGCAATGGTTTTGAAACACATGATAATACTTTCTATCTGAAATTATTTCAACTGCTAGCTCTCTATCAGCTTCGAACCATTGGGAGCCTTTACGCCAATCTTGCAATGTTATTGTGGGACCCATTTGCTTGTTGTATCTCCCACGACCGATTTTTCTTGGATCATCAAATGAACTAAGAAAACTTTTGTTGGCATTTGTAAGGTAACTGTAGATCGTCGTGAAATTGAATAGAGGAATACATGTTTCTGACAGCAGTATGAACCTTTGATTGGAGAAGTCAAGTAGTGCATTTGCTAAAAGTCTTTTCTCGGCATCAATCATGGTTGGTTTTCCCCACTGAACATGCTGTATAAAGAAAACATAAAAGACATTTTTTCAATTAAAAACCCTTGTATTTTATACTTTGTTATTAATAAAAAAAATAAAAATATTTTTCAATAATTAAAAACCGAATTAAGACGCAAAATATTTATTTTTAATTTGTACTACTAGCTGTAAATAGTAATTTAACTTCAATTTAATACACATATATATATATAGAGAGAGAGAGAGAGAGGGGGTGAGGTTTTTACAAACCATGTAATTCTTAAACCTTACAAATCGATCTCAATCATACGTGAGTCAGGTAGATAATTAACGGTGTATATTAAATTGGTTCCTAAATTTACTCTCAGCTGCATTTTATAGGCCAAATCAAATACAAACAACTTAAATGTTAGGGGTTGTTTGGCAGTTGCTGAATGGTTTGGTGCAAAATGATTAAAAGTAGTCAGAATGATTAAGAGGCTCTCACGATATAGTATAAAACGAAATATAATTCTTTGGTAATTGTTTACAATAAATTTAGGGCACTGAATGGTTAAGGAAGACTTATGATACAAAATCATTCAGAGGATTTTGGAACCATTAAGAGACATATTTTTTTTGTTAAACAAGATTCACCTCTTAGAAATTCAGAAGTTGCATCTTAATAGAACTATTAAGAAGTAAACAAACAACCCCTAATTGGTTATGATATTTACTTTATACAAACAAGATTCACGCTATAAAAACCAATCTTAACCGTCCATGCAAATTATCAAATCAATTTAAACGATGTGATTAAATTGGTTCCGAATTTTACTTTTATAACCTTATCTGCAACTGATTTGATAACCGCTTAAAAAATTCAAAATACACAAAATCAAGGGCTGATATTGGTTTATACAGTGTGTAACATTTAGACGGCATGTATTTAATTTGTATACTATATATATATATATATATATATATATATATTTGTAACAAATTTTACAATATGGGTATTTTAGTATTTATAAAATATCAAATGTACCCTTTGTTTTTTCTAGATAGAATTACGTTATAAAAATGTAGAGTTTGTGCTTCAAACCTGGCTTGGTATTTTTCTTTTATAAAACACTGATGAATTTGGAGGTTCATTGGCGAAATCCGGAGATGTATGCAAGTATATTGAGAAAAGGCCTTCATGCCCTTCAAAGAACTTTTCCCAAAATGGCCCCAAGGGCAAACCTCCCCTTGTCAAGAACATAAAGGCCAATTTCTGTGGATGTTCCGCAACATGTGGGACTCTCATGGCTTTCTGTATTAGCTCTTCATCACTCATCGAGTGCCAAAGATCCACGAAACCAGTTGAATCGGTAAATCCAACAACACGAGCCGGTGAAGGAGTAGAAGATGATGAAGATCCATGACAAAGATAGATCGAAGAAGAATGAGTCTTTGTAACCACTGTGAAACGAGGGAAGTACAAATCTTTTGGGATTATAACCGTCTTGTAGCGGTGGGTGATGAATGTACCAAGAACAAACACGATAAACGCCATGAACACACACATGGTTATGGTGGAAGCTACATGGATACTGCTTTCGCTCATCAACTGTTTCAATCCCTTCATCTTTCTTTTGACAGACATTTTTGGAAACTAATACAGTTTCAGATGATCTATAATAACTTATAACATAAACCAACAACATAACTAAAAGCACAAGAGAAAGGCTTTTTCTTCTCGACTTGTAGGAATTGTGTGACTCAAACACATGATATAACATGAACGTTTCACACCAATCTTGATGTCATGATGATTGATCTCGTTTTTTTTGGACCTTTACGTATGTAACGTACGATCTAAGAATGTATCACGAAAATCATGATTATTATAGTTCAAAAACCAACCATTTAAGCTGCAATAATTTCAAAGAAACATTACATTGAAAATTTTGAATATTTATAACTATTTTTGAAAAAAACCATTTTAATTTGACTTCGTAGATAAGTGTATATATTTCTATTTTAATTTGTCTCAAAATAAATATTCACTTTATAATTTTACTCTTAATTGTGAAATTAACTTTCTAGTTTTACCCTTAATTGTGAAATTAAATGAAGACGTTATTCATTTTTCTATATTATTGAGGATTAAATTATCATTGAATTCTGTTAATCAGGACAGTAACAAAGTTAAATGAAACTACATTTACCTTTTTCATCAACTAATTTAAGGGGCCGTTTACTAAACATTTATTTGGTAAGTGCTTACCGGATAAATTTTCTTAGCGGATGAACATGAGAAGGGTCAAGAATCTTACCGGGTAAGAGCAATGAAAAGAATAGAGAGTCTTACCCGATAAGCACAGATGACAACTCTTACCCAGGTAAGCATACATATAAAAATAAATTATAATGTGGAATCCTATCCGTAAGCACGTACCGGGTAAGCATTTTGGTAAATAGTCTAAATATTTTGTTCACATTTAAACTTGTCAAATCAAAGTTGTTAACAAAACCACCACAATCATCTAGATAATAAGGGGTTATTTGTTTACCTCTTAATAGTTTTATTAAAAAAAAACATCTGAATCGTTAAGAGATGAATCTTGTTTGGCAAAAAAAAAAAGTCCGTCTCTTAATGTATCTAAAACTTTCTGAATGATTTTGTATCTTGTGTTTCCCTTAACTATTCAGCGCCCTAATTCCATTGTAAACAATTACCAAACAATTATATTTCATTTTGTACTATATCATAAAAGTCTTTTAATCATTCTGACAACTTAATTATTTTATATCAAATCATTCAAGAACTATCAGACAACTCCTAACATTGCAATGAGATTTCAATGCCATATTAATTTAAATGCTCATGATAGAATATCAAAATTAATGCTTCTCTTGGAAGAAGAAAACAATCAAACTCTTCAATTTGATATGAATAATATTACTAACAACGTCAATCGTTATTGTTGATTTTTTCAACAAATTTGTTAATTACACCACCACGATAATCACCAAAGGACCTTTTGCTTAGTCGGTGGTGAATGCGGAAACTTTTATAGTTAGGGGCATATTTAGGGGTGTAGTCGTGTAGATAAAAAAAATTCAAAACCAAATAATTCGTTCGGATGAAAACGGTTTTGGGCTCTCCTTTTCGGCTTAAACAGTTCAGTTAACCGAATAAAGATAACTTATTCAGGTCGATTTTCAGTTGACTTTTTACTAATTCATCGAGGTGATAATTTCTATATTTTATATCTCGAACGAAAATATCAGTGTGTGCTGTAAATGGAACAATTAACAATCAGGATATCAAGTTGTGGGCCTTTGCCTTGTTCTTGTTGGGCACACAATTAGGAAAATTTACTAAACAATTTTTTTATAGTTTTTTTTTTTTAAATGGTGGGTTTGTTGGGGGCCTAGGACCCCTACACTGGATCCGCCAGTGGGCCTAACACTATTGTAGTATTTGGCCTCCTAGGAGGTCAGAGGTTCAAACCTCAACAAATGCAAGGAGAATGTGTGAGTTTATTTGTTGCATTTGCTATATATAAATATTATATACTTCAAAAACGATTTAGATAATCACATTCATTTAAATGCTCATAATAGAGCAGAGAAATCAAAGCTTCTCTTAGAAGAACAAAAATCGATATATACTTCCGTTTCCCTCGATGTTTGTTTGAAGTTATGTGACGATAATCAAACCAAGAAATTGTAGGAGAACTCTATTTATTTTATTTATTAGTATTAGCGAACACATTTACACAAAAAACGTTCATCGATCATCATAATGATCGGGAATCTTGGTTTTCACATTAGGTGAGGACGCTCAGCAAATCGACCATTAAAGAATGCAATCGAACGAGTTAACGTATTTGCCAGCGTGTCATTCTTGCTTAAAATGGGAATCGTAATCACAAGAATAGGATGAATGCCAACTGGATGGATGTGATTGGTTATCACGGTTCTTAAGATTTTCAATTTTTTTATTTGATTAGGACCCACACACATACAAACACACACTTGAAAACAATGATACATTAATATAAGGTTAAAGTATATTAATATATTTCTTACAATAAAATGTTAGCATATGTTAATATATTATGTACATTGATTTGAGTTCACGTGAGACCAAACTGCTTTCGTGAGATACATGAGACTACATTTTTACACTTGAAATTTCACAGCAATTCATGGTGAATGTAAAAAAATTCGAAACTTCACAGCAAAAACATTGTGAAGGTTATATTTACAGTGTTTTGTTGTGAAGTTTTAAGTGTAAAAAGATGGTCTCACGGGTCTTACGAAAACATGCTGCTCTCACGTAATTCCAAGTCCATGTACACTTGTTAACGAAATGGTTTTTACGTTTGTTGATTTTTTCACTAAGGGGCCGTTTACCAAACGCTTACTCGGGTAAGCGCTTTACCAAGTCACATTACCTAATCGGATGAATATGGTAAGAGCCAAGAATCTTACCCGGTAAGAGCGAAACAAGGACCAAGTTCTTACCCGGTAAGTGAGGGCGACGACTTTTACCATGGTAAACACTTACCGAGTAAATTGTTGTATGCGATGTCATTTTGGTGGAAAAAAATCTTACCCGGTAAGTATATATAATAGTGTTAAATTTTATTGATGAATACTTATCGGGTAGGTATTTGGTAAACGGACCCTAACAACAAAAACCCTTTCTTTTTATTTTCTTATTAAAATCAAAAGATTTTTTTTCCAAAGAAAATATATATCGATTTTGTTAGCCCACTTCACGAGCTGTCCGATTGCTTGTGGTGGGCTTTTTCTGGCATAGCTGAGCTGAGCCTGAGATTACGTTCTTCACCTCACCCAAGCAAACCAAGGTGAAAACGGAAAATGAAGACCCACCCACATACGATGGTCAAAATTCTTTACCTTTTTCAAATACCCTAATCGGTTTTTTTTCTTTCATATACATGATCTTGGCCTTTTTGCTTTCTTTCTCTGTTGGAATTCTCTGTAGTAGGTTTAATTTATCATTTATTCTGATGGAAATAGAAAGCGGGATCGCTCTTGGATATCGATCTTGAATGTTCTTCTTTTCCTTCCGTGGGAAAATTTTAATCTCGGATCTTTTGGGAAGCCATTGATAAGCTCTTTTTTGGGTTGATTTTTCACTCTCAGAGGTCTGATATTCGAGACGGATAGAAGATAAAAGAAAAGGGCATGGGAGGTTCGAAGACGGAAGGGGGCACCTCTTCCTCAACCCCTTTAATTACAAATCGTAGAGACCCATATGAGGTTTTGAGTGTTTCAAGAGATTCTTCTGATCAGGAGATTAAATCTGCTTATAGAAAACTTGCTCTCAAGTTAGTTTTTCTCCTCTTTCATATTTCTTAAGGTTATTATTCATATGTGTTCATTGTTTTTCAAATTTGTTGGAATTGTCGTTTGAATTTGGGATACCAAGACTTGCCATGTTATGAATTGCTGGTTGGCATTGGGTTGGTCTCATGTACATGCTGTTTTTGTGGATCGTTGAAAGCCATGAAAGAGTAACAATGAGCATCAGTTGATGCAATGCCAAATGCTATTCTATTCTATGAGTTTGTGTTACTATTTAGAGTATTGCACTAGATTAGTACTTTTTATGGTTTGTCTTGCCTCTCTTTTCATACTTTCCTTGATGTCTATTCCGTTGAGTGCGTAAATTTGTAATCATTTTGGACATTCTAATAGTTAGTTATAGAAATTGAACTAGTTCATTATCTAAATCAATGCCTCTTGAGTCCATTTGTCATTGAAGAAGAATTGAGTTGGATATGACTTGTGAGTAATAGTATAAACTTCTCCACGCCGCACCTAGTTGTTTCGCTATCTTGTATTCTTTGTCATGAACTTGGTTAAACAATTACTATTTTTCATGATCGAATCCAAGATAGTTCTCGGGGGATGTTGATATAAATCTTTGCTCTTTGAGTTCATTTGTTATGAAAGAAATATGATATTGAGTTTGATTCGATTTGGCTTGTTGGTAATTGTAACACTTCTCTTTAAGTTTGTTTGTGATACTCTGATGTATATTGCTGACCTTTTTTAATAATGGAAGCTTAGAACGTTGCGAATCAATGTTAATTGGTGCATCATTGATGCATTTTGTGTTTTGGTTAACAGGGTCTTGCATTATTTTTAACATTTCTTTCTTGATGTTTATGAAGTTCAGTTTGAAATTTGTATCTGGTATGTCACGACTTGCACAAGAAAGGACTATAATGTGACATTAGGTTATGTAGTTAAGTGTTTTAATACTGGTTCTATACAGGTATCACCCTGACAAAAATGCTAGTAATCCTGAAGCCTCGGAATTATTCAAGGAGGTTGCCTATTCTTACAGCATTTTATCCGACCCAGAAAAAAGAAGACAATATGATAATGCGGGGTTTGAGGTAGTCTTCTCTGCTGCATTTTGCTTCTCACTGTTAGTGTATAAGTATGTGTTATGTTAACTTGCATGTTGCTTGTTAGGAATTCTTTAAAAGATTGGGTGATTGTAGTTGGTTCAGAACAAATAACAAGTTCATCTACGATCCTATTTCTGTTGTACTTAGCGTCGTAAAGTCATCTGGAGCATGACAATTCATTCTTTAGTGTTTAGTTGAGTAAGACCGGGTGAATATAACAATTGTGCAATAGTCTGAAGTTGATCTTTGAACTTCTTTTTTTCTTGACTTGCTGGATGGCAACGAGAAAGAAAAAGAACAATGCAAAAGTCTTCTTTTTAAAGGTAGCAACAATTAAACACTAAACTCAAGTTAATAGGGATATTTTAAGCATCCAATCAACACCAATTTTAGGGTAAATTTAACATAAAAATGTATAAAATTGGTACTTATCAATCTTTTATTCACATTAGATCTTTCATTCAAGGTGTTCTTTATATTGATAATGCATGCATTGACTAACCATAGAACAAATGCAATAACAGGCCTTGTATGTGATAAGTAAATTAACCCTCCAACCAACTGTTGATATTGTTGCTTCTTGAGTGGAATTCTGGTATAAACTGGTGTTAAATGCTTGTAATTGAATTGATACGAAAAGGAAATCACTCCAACGGCATTCGAGAGGCCATGGTCTCTCCCAGAGCAAAGCTCGTATTACAATTAAATTGGAAAAAACAGAATACCCAAAACAGGAAGCACCCCGCCAACAAAAAGGCTCCCGCACCCTAAACAAAAGGAAAACCCGAAAATACTCCTAAGACATTATTTAAAACAGAAAGTAAGGAACCACACTAATTTCCCCTCCTCCTATATGTGAACCGAACCGGGGGTACACCAAACTCCTTCGTTGATACTTGATACGTTCAAGCTTTTGGTTGGGATCTATTGGGGTACATAGGTTTGCACACACTCATCGGTGTCCTTAGGAGATCAACTGCGTATTTCCTCTGCGAGATCACGATGCCTTGATTCGACTTGCAATTTCTATGCCCAAATATATCTCAACTCTCCCTAGTCCCTTACTTTGATTAAAGGTTTTAAAAAGCAGAATCGTATCTCAAGGTGTTTTCCCTCAACGAGGTGAGGCAGTCCCGAGGTAGAAATATATATACCAATATATTAATGTACACAAATATATTTATATTTTATACCAATCTGTATTCAACTACTTATACACAGAAAATATATGCAATATATATTCCCATACCCACACCCACACCCACACCCACACCCACACCCACACCCACACCCACACCCACATATATATATATATATATATATATATATATATATATGATACTAAATTACTAAAAGAATATACAAAACTTTTTTCAATCATGAAATATAGATATAGTAACAGAGAATAAAAATATTGATATTAATAATATATTTAATATGGTCAAGCTCAAAGAAAAAAATATTAAAATATCAACAAAGTGGGAGTAGAAGTGTGACCATGACTATGGCGTATAGTAGAGACTAAATATAAAAGAAGTGTATCCACTATCCAGTATATACATATACATAATACTCTAGTGAACTAGAGAAGAATCGAAGAAGAAAATGCAAAAAAAGGGAGAAAGCTGGAACTCGTGAAGGACAACAGACGGGTAGCGAATAGGGCGTAGCAGAACCAGAGAAGAACAAGGTTTTAGAAAAAGAAATCAAGAAGGTCTCATCCATTTTTTTTATAGTGTAGCCTCTGTATTGAGGCATAAGCCTCTTCACCGCCTCAGACAACCAAGGTGTACGTCTCTTCTGGGACTGAGAGGCACCACCTTAGGTGCGATTCAACTCGAGGCGCACCTTGAGGCGTACACCTTACACGCTTTTTTAGAACCATGCTTAGATTTTGTAGAGTAGTATTACTTCAACAGGAAACAAATATGAACACAACAAACTTATAGAGAAGCCAACAATGTTTTCTCTTATTCAAATCAGCAGCAACTACAGGCTTTTATAGCCAAAACAGAGAGAGAAAGCTACAAATAAAAAGGCTAAAAAATAGGAATAAACAAAGAACAAATCAAAGCCTA